CCTAACACGTGTTGCCGGTTAGTTTTTGATCGTAAAAAGGATAAAAGCCCACATATTTAACATTGTGGCAGGTTGTTATTAATAACATCGTAATCCATGCTTTATACGCACGGGAAATTTTATCTCGAATCCTAAGTAAGGACAAGTCAGCGTCTAACACGCGTTGCCGGTTTAGTCTTTCACCGATTGAAAAAGACACCAGAATCCAAGTCTGGGGAATTTATCCCGAAACCTAAATAGGGATAAGTCAGCGCCTAATGCGCGTTGTCGGTTAGTCTTTGACCGTAAAAATGACAAAAGCCCACATATTTAATATTGTGGTAGGTTGTTATTAATAACGCCGTAATTCGTGCCCTACACGCGCGAGGAATTTTTTTCCGAATTCTAAGTAGGGATAAGTCAGCGCCTAACACGCGCTGCCGGTTTAGCCTTTCACCGATTGAAGAAGATACCAGAATCTAAGTTTGGGGACTTTTATCCTAAAGCCTAAGTAGGGATAAGTCAGAATCTAACACGTGTTGCCGAGTAGTCTATTCCCATAATAAAGATGAAGTCTACATATTTAATATCGTAGCACTAAGAGAGTTAACTCTCTTAGAACAACGTCACATGCGCAACAGACTTAAACAATTCGCTTACAAGCCCGATTCAAACGGTAATCAGTAAAGGCACGTCAAACCCGTTGAAGGCTGAGGGTTTGCCAAAAACCCTAAAGTCTACACCTAACATGCATCGCCGTTTAGTCTTTTCACGTGAGAAAGATGAAGTCTACGCATTCAATATCGTAGTACTAAAAGAGTTAACTCTTTTAGCATAACGTTACGTGCGGAATGGAATTAAACAATTCGCACGCTAGCCCGACTCAAACGGTAGTCGGTAAAGGCTCATCAAACCCGTTGATGGTTGAGGGTTTGCAAAAAATTCTATATATGCGAAAGTCACTGACGCATCAACTTCATTAGTTGGTCTCGTGACTTGAGCATCCAACAACCTTAGGAAGAGATCCATAACTGTAGATGAATCAGCTTTAACAGTTGGTCCTGCAGTCCCAACATTTAGGACCGCCATGCTCCAATGCTTAAGAGTTTAAACTGTGTAAACTCCAGCAAACATACGAGTATAAACCATGTTAACAACGGTCAATGCGTTACATCAAAGGTTAACGCCGGTCAACGCGTTACAGTAAAGGATCGAGGCCGGTCAACATAGATGATTTCGCCAAAATAAAGCTAAGGAAAATTCCGGATTAAAGGATGATTCTGAGAAGTTCAATTACGATTTAGATATGAACTTCCGACAAAGATGATTAGTTCAAAATCAACTCAATGACACGAGCCAAGTTCAGAAACCTACACACTAATTTTAGTTCAAAACTTTAACAACGGTCAGACGATAAACGTAACACCGGAAGAACTTTATCTATTCGACAATATACTGAATAGACTGAATGCTGAAGAAGTTAAGAATTAAAGCAGTTCATAGGTCCCTCTACGAGATTAAGTAAAGGGCCTATCTTATCCAAAGCATTCTAGACTCCTCTATAAAAGAATAAGTCAGAAATACTTTAGAGGGGGTATCTGTAGGCGTCTAAAAATACCTATAGGTGTCCACAAACAGCTCGAGATAGAGAGAAGATGATAAATATTGTTATCCGAATCAAAGAGGATTATCTGACGCCGACGAGTGCATGAAGCGAAACGGTGAACCGACTGGCCTGTGCACTCATCGGCCACCTCCAAGTGGCTCATGCACTCGTGAAGGCAGCTCTAATGGTCCCGGTTGCTCACCGGCCACCACCAAAGTGGCCGCGCAATGCTTATCGCCAACAATCGACGAACCAAGTGGCTCGTGCACTCACCGACCACCTCCAAGTGGCCCGTGCACTCGTCAGCTAGCTCCAAGTGGCCCGCATGCTCACTGGCCATCACTAAATGGCCCGCACTCTCATCGGCCACCAAATTGGCAAACCAAGTGACCCGTTCACTCACCGGCCAACTCCATGTGGCCCGTGCACTCGTCAGCCAGCTTCAAGTGGCCCGCGTGCTTACTTAACACCACAAGTGCCCGCACCGCTAATCGGCCACTAAATCGGCGAACCAACTAACCCGTGTACTCACCGGCCACCTCCAAGTGGCCCGTGCACGGCCGTCCAGCCAGCTCCAAGTGATCGCGTATGCTCAACCGGCCACCACCAAGTTGCCCGCACGCTCATCGGCCACTAATCGACGAACCAAGTGACGCGTGCACTCACGCGGCCGCTTCCAAGTGGCCCGTGCGCTCGTCAGTCAGTTCCAAGTGGCCCGTGTGCTCACCGGCCACCACCAAGTAGCCCGCATGCTCATCGGCCACCAAAACAACGTACAAGTCAACGAAACAATGAAATACGCGTAACGACGGAATAATTCAGAACCCAAAAAACTGAGAAAGCCTCTGGTAGCCGAGTCGCGTCAAAACGACTCGGCCGGGCCA